TTTTCAAAAAAATAAAAAAATGAGAATCAGAGGATGATACTGACATTATCTCACTGATAAACTTACCATGTGAAGTGTCTCCTTTAAAGTTAAGGTGAACTGCGAAGGAGCATTTCCTTCAAAGTTTAATTTCCGGTGCCAAGTAAGTGCTGCAGGCTTCCCTGGTTCAACCTTAAGTACACATACGAAAGGGTGTTTAGAATAGAATCTTTGTTAGGGCTTAAGTCATCAAAATTGTGAAAAGTTGCGCAGTCATTAACTGAATCTTTGGAAGAAGTGCCAAAATGGTTTTTTAAATTTGAATTATATAACAGTATCAACTAGGTTGTAAACATTCTATAAATTGCCAGAAGGGACACTTTCACTAGTTCCAACTTTATAGTCGGGATGGAATAGTGATTAGAAAAGTAATACACCTGCCTGTTAATGCCTATGACCAAAACTAACAGTAAAATATGGATATACAATTTTGAATCGTGTTAATCATCCCTCATATGTTTTCTTTCCATGGAAACTTTATCAGAAACTTTCAGAAAGGATAATTGTTTTATTAAATGGTGAAGGTTTCAAAATGAAGCACTAAGCTCCCGCATTTAAAAACACAACATTTGCTCATTGCTCTCAAAAGGTTGGATTAGAAGAATTATATACACTGGCTGAAGAGCAATTTATTCATAATTTTTACAGAATGATTTCCAGGAAACTGCATCTAATTAACACATCAGCAGACATATATTGTAGTAGTCATGATTATCTCTTTCAATTCAAAATCCTGAGAGTTGCTTAAGAGGATAGCCTCAAGAATTTCTTCAGTCGGCTTGATCGAAGAAAGCAATACAAAAGTTGAGGCCCGCTATGGAAGGTAGATATATAACAGGCACAAATTTCATTCTTGTTTCATGAAAGGGGACAGACTTTTAAAAAGTTGCAAAGGACAAGACACAGGTAAAGTTCTTTTGGCAATTTTTCGTTGTGCTCAAAAAGCGCATCAAGATTCTGAACGTTATATGAAACAAGTATCAACTACGCTTAAGTTTTTTTTTTTGGGAAATAAATTGCCTACTAACTCTATGTTATTCGAAGCATAAAGCCATAAACCATAAACTCTACCTTGATGTTTGAAGACTCGTAAGTTTCCTGATATTCTTCCACAAAATCATCTTCAACCATCATCCCTGCGCCAAGCAAAGAGTTAAAAAGATGGAATATTGAAGTCTGATACCATGGCATAATAGCTGCAAAATCATCCAGTGAAACCATGAAACTACATAGAACTATTACTCACCAAACAAATTCTCTCCGTTGAATGCAAACGTACCCTTACCTTAATCATCCAATAAAAATTAAGGAAACGGAAATCACGTATATACATCTATGCTTGATGTGATTAAAAGAAACGAAATAAACAAAGCCCATGCATTTGCCAGCATTGCAATTAAAACGAACGACAATCGCAAAAACGACATGGAAACAAGAACACGAGCTTTATCCCAAGTTTTCGAATGATTCAATAATGCAGAGTAAGATAAAGAAGCATGATCCACAGATGAAGAAAGGAAGGGGTCAAACCTCAAACCTCAGAATGCCTGGGGACCAACGTTTGAAGAAGAACACAATTCAGCAAGCAGCAACAATGGCAAGTCTTCCCGTACTGATCCGACACTTTAAAAATGTGAAAATATATGGCCCGAAAAGTCAAATCTTGGTGGGTTAGACTATTATTGTTCAAGTAATTTCTTGGAAGTCCAAAACATCATCAAACAATCGAATGCATAATAATCTACGAAAATAAATGAGCATTAAGCTAATTAATCCTCCCTTATCCTACAAATGATGTATACATAGCCGATGAACGTGGAAGCTTTTTGAACGTTCACTGGAAGAAAGAAATTGCTTCTTTTGCCATTCATCGGTTAGTCGTACCAACCTGGGTGACGACAGTGGGATTGACAAGAGTAGGGATTTTTTTAAAATTATTTTCTTTTGTTAAATATATATTTATTAATTTTTTGATTGGGCCAGATGTTCAATATTTATTTTAGTCTTGATTTCAAGGGAAGTTGCTTACATATTTTAGGAGTATAATGAGCGAAAAGTACCACTTGTCGTTTAGTTTTTGAAATTTTATTATGATTAATTTGAAATTTCAATTTATAAATATATAAATCACTCAAATGAAAAGTGCCACTTGTCATTGAGTATGTCCATAAAAAAAATGTGAAGTCAATTTAATTATTGGATTTATTTTTTCATAAATAAAACGCGGAGGCTATATTAGAACACGTGTGAGGATAAGAATTTCTCTTCTATCATAATCAAATTACTTTTCTTTGGATTTAATAATTATTTTTATAATTATAGATTATTATTTATCTTTAATTTTAAGAGAAATTACAGTTGAAATTAGAAAGAGGCGAGGGACATGAGTTGCAAGGCTGCCTACCTTTTCTGCTTTTTAGTTTCAACTAAAATATACATTTGGTAATAAAATAGAAAAAACTTTGGTTAGGAGCAATGCTTTGATTAAAGAGAGAGAATTGTATAGGAAAAAAAAAACTTGTTTTTGATATCAATAATAATTCATTCTTATTAATTAATAATATTAAATACTACTACCTCGGATTCTTAATATATTATCTTGTTTAACTTTTATTTTGATCCTAAATATAAGATCCCAATTCGCATTGTCTCTCATATTTATGTATTTTTTTCTAAAGTAATCCTTCTAACAATAGTAGTTTTAGCCAATACACTTGATTAGTAAGGATATTTTAGAAAAGACAATACATATTTGTTATAAATAACTAACTTAAACTTTTTTCTTAATCTCCCCAAATTAGTCAACTAGCTTTTATAATTAGGACTTGAGGTAGTATAGAATTGGTTTTTTTTAAAAAAAAAAAATCGCTTTGTATACATAGTAGTTCCTTGGAGACTTTTTTTTTTGGTTGCCTTTTTGCAAAAAGAGATACTTTCTTTTCCTAAATTTTATAGAGCAATCTCACTTTATACAAGTACTAACATTTTAGATATCTAACAACCTCTTTGCAATTAAAATATTCATATAAAAGCAATCGTATTCCATTTCAGATAATAGTAAAGGCATTTGCTGGCAAGCAATATTATACACATATATTTTCTTTTTTATGTTAAACAAAAGATACAGTCTACTAGACGCTGCTGATTACATGAGGATATTGTTATTTATAATTTTTTATTTTCATGATTTGACATCTCAAGTCTCAACAACAATTTAATATCAGTGGCATTAATGGCGAAGTGATGCCTGGTCAGGTAAACTCACACTACAAAGCCTGTCTAAAATTGAGGTCTTATATTTAGTATCAAAGCAAACTCTTCAATCAATTACATTTAAGATCGGAGGTAGCATCAAAATGAAATGTAATTGTTAATGGCAAGTGCAAGATATTAAAAATAAGACCAACAATTAAATTGATTAAGGCACTATATTAAGTTTAATTAGTTGACTATGATCAAACTACTCAACTTAAAGTAAAAGGAAAAAAAAATTAATTATTCAGTCTCTGTAATTTTGCTTTGATTGTAACTCAATTTATAAATTTTAATTCAACACAATTTAATACCTATAATTTTGATTTGGTTAAAAATTGGTTCTTGAACTTTGACTCATGATATTACCGTTTTATTACATGTCATTTCCTATCATTTTAGAGGGGTTTATGTCATGTTCTTAAGCTTAAATTATGCATAATTGTGACTAATATAGTTTAGTTGTCTTTGCATAGAGTTAGTGCCTTTTTGGAATTAAAGTTAATTGTTATTAATTAATTTCTACAACAATTGATATTTCATTTGGACTAATTTTTATTGCAGGACAAAAGGAAAATGAAGCAAAGATCAAGAAGTCAAAGGACAAAACAACACATAATGGGGAAAAAGTAATTCTATCCAAATAGTTGCGACTATTTAGTGAAAAAACCGTGACAATTGTAATGTTACCAAAACTACATATTTTATGTAGAAAATTCGATTCTAGACGATCTATGCACTTAAGATTCGACCCAGATCCGACTAGAACACCTTAATACTAACCCCATTCAAATCCTAGGTCATTCATTTATCAAGCTAACACTTTCCCACACCTCTCCTCTCCTCTTCATCACATCTTTACTCTTCTTCACCATTCTGCATTTCTTCACTTCTTCCCACTTTATTTTCATCCCTCCTTCCATGGATTGCTTGGAATTGCTACTGGTTGTAGTGATTCCAATCCCTATGCATGGCTGAGAGTCTTGTCTCTTGGAGATGGGTTGAAAATGGCATGAATCAAGGAGTTTCATAGGAGAGTTTGATTTTAATCTTTTAGTTGAATTGTAATTTTTATGGTTATTCGCGTTCAGTGATTGTAATAGTTGTGGATGAAACCAAGTTGGATTAATCTTATAATTATGGATTGTTTTTCATAGAAATTTGATGAACTTTACTATATATGTGTTATATATGTGTTCATTGGTTGGATTTATTACCACCTTGCCATCTCACGCGTTGTAAGTGGCCTAATTTTAATGAGTCTGATGTTAAGAACTAGTTGCATTAACCTTTTCAAATTGCACGGGGAACTTCAAAATGTTTTAATTAATGACATTTATGAGTTAAAGCATTGGATTTGAGCAGTTGCTTAAGGTTTGGCATTTTTAGAAAGAGAAAATGGCAAAAATAAGACCGCCGAAAAAAAAATTATACACAAGGACCAATTGATAAAAATTATTCTCAAAACCCATACTAATATTGTCATGGTTCTTATTTACAATTTTTCTATTTCAATCGTCTTTTTTTTGCCATTTTCCCTTTTAGAAACCTAGGGCATTAAATCTCCCAAATCAATTTTAACAATGGTAAAATTGTTCTCACAAAATTAGGTCACAGCAAATTTATAATATGTTCAATAAGAAATTTTTCCCCACCAAAATTTTAAATCAAAATAGGCAGTAGAAAAAAAAATTGAGAAATTTCTCATATAAGGAAAAAAATACTCAGCAATACATGTTTTTACTATTTTCTCATCGTAGCAAGGATGCTGGATTTGGTAACTGTCATCCGTGAGAACTTTTGAAGCCAAAGGATTACATCGTTACTACAACTGAGGCATACAGACAACGATCGTTAATAGTCTTAAACCCAGAAAAAGAAATATAAGAACTACAAGAGTAAAACCTATGAAACAATAACAAAGCCTAATCTTAGTAGATAGGATTCATTACATGGATCGTATCACGTTATTATGCTCTATCAATGACGAAGTCCTTGGATAGACTTTTAATCAAAAGATCTTGTTCAACAATTTCATTGAGTGTTCTCTTAAGTCTTTCTCGATCCCTTTTCAAAGAATTCCATACTTCTTGATCAACTCTCCTCCTCAGCACATCCAACAACCTTCTTTGAATGTGTCCAAACCACCTCAAACAATTTTCTACCATTTTCTCTTCAATAGAAATCATTACAACTCCTTCGCATATATGTTCAATATGAATCTTATCTTTTTTCCTTTATATGGCCACACATTCACCACAGTATCCTCATCCCAGCTACCCTCATTTTATGCTCATGTTGTTCCTTTAAAGCCCAACATTCACTGTCATATAACATCATTGGTTTTATAGAAGTGTGATAAAACTTCCATTTTACCTTGCTAGGTGCTTTTCAATTACAGATAGCTCTTAACAGCTTTTCAACTCCAGATCCTTCTCCATGACTCTACTGGGGAAAAAAAAGAACAAAAGAAAAAATTCAAATGCAATTTCTTATTCCTTAGGTCTGTGAACTAGGACCAAAAAGAAATATTCAATTTGCTAAAAGAAACAGGGATAGGAAACAATTCTTAACACTAGCTACGAAAGATGAAGGAACAAACTCATGTTAAACTCCAAGTAGGATCATTAGTAACAAGCACAAAGTCAATATATATATATATATATATTAAAAACACAAGACGAAAACAAAAACCTTTTCAACACCATTCAGCTCATTCAATCCTCAACAATTTTGATTGGAAAGAAACCAGCATTTGCAAAATATTCAAGAAAACTTTCAGCATTTGTACAAGTATCGCGCTAATATGGACGAGAGAATCTGATCTTATTTGATGTTAAAAAGAGCATCAATAGAATTTCACATATCTAGGAAAAAAATTAATCAAATCAAGATCCCATAAGACATGAATCCCATTTTAAAATATGAAAAATATTAGATTATGTGGATGAAAAGAATACAAAAGATATTTAAATTACAATACCAATTCGAATATTCATTACCTAAAAATAAAATTGACCACGTTTACTTTGAAATACTATAAATCAATCTCAGAGCATGGTGCACAGCAGACTACAGTTGTGAAAGCAAATGCTCCTACAAAGCATCTCGCCCAAGGCATCCTTATTAGTAAAAGATATGTAGACATAGCAACAATTTTCCAGTAATAAAACATATTTTAAGCCCAATATTGGCTATAGTTGGAAACGCAATGAATTTTAAAAACATTCAACGTCAATTCACTGATAAAATCAACTTCTAGCAAAAGTGAACTTGCCATATTCAAAATAAGAAGGAAAAAAATAGGACATGGGAAATTCAAGGACTCAAGCATCACATGTTCATGATTAGTTGACCTCAAGCTTTGTTAAACAAAGGAGAAGGCATCAGCAAGGGCCTTGACCTAAGAGGAAACTAAACAATATCTATTCAGTTTCCAGGATAAAATTTGAAGGTAATAAACTGAACTAGAAATGAACCATAACGAAAATCATGGGTACATAAAACAGGCACAGTGAATCTATTAAAGATATGACTTGAACATAACTCTTCAAGCATTGGATAACCATTAAGGAAAAATTTTAATATTTGTACAAATAAAAAGGACAAGAGTATCTAACCTTGTTTTATTGTTTCAAACTAGCAAACATTTCATGAAGAAGATTCTCTACTTTGTCATCCTCACGTTTTTCCAAAAAGGCTTGAAGAAGTATTTTATATGTTATGGAATCGGGGAGGAAGTCATTCTCTTTCATTTTTGGAAGCAAAGTCCTGGCTTCATCCAGCAATCCTTGTCTACATAGGCCACTGATCATAGAATTATACGTATAGACGTCAACATGATAGCCTTTGAACGAAAGGTATTCAAAAATCTCCCAAGCATCATTTACTCTATCAACTTTACACAAACCATTAAGAAGTATGTTATCTGTGTACAAACTAGGTTGAACTCCCTCAGCAACCATTTGCTGAAATAATACAACCCCTTGATCGATATTCCGGCTTTTGCAAAATGCATTTAACAAAATGTTATAAGTGACTACATTAGCGGCATGACCAGTATCACGCATATCATAAACAAGATCTCGCACACATGACATTCTTCCCAATTTGCACATGGCATCGATACGAGAATTGTAAGTCCTAGTATTAGGAGTGATGTTTTTGGCACACATTTCTTTAAAGAGACCTATAGCTTCATCAACCATTTTGATCTTACGTAACCTGTCAATCAAGATATTGAAACTTATTACATCGGGCACCAATCCACTTAGGACCATCTTATCAAATACATTTTTTGACTTGTTGACATTGCCCATCGAACAATACCCATCCATTAAAGAATTGTAAGTTACAAAATTAAGTTTCTCACCACATTTCATCATCCTGCCATGCACAGTTTCAGCTTCTATGATCTTTCCTTCTTGAAAAAATGCACCAATCAATATATTAAATATACAAACATCAGGTTCGATGCCTATCAATAGTACCATTTCATGGAGCAACCAGTTAGCTGCTTGCCATTGTCCCTTGCTGCAGTGACCATGGATTAGAGAGCAGTAAGTGCCAATATCTGGTAAAAATCCTTGATCAATCATTTTACAATACAATTCGTGGACCTCAATAACATGTCCACATTTGCAAAGGCTATCAATGATTGTGGTGTATATGACTACACCAGGCTTAACCGAATGCCTCTCCATCTTTTCGACCAATGTAATGGCAGACCTTAATTGGCCAAGTTTGCACAGCCCATTAACCAAAGTTCCATAACTAACTTCATTTAATTGAAATCCTTTGGTCATGAGGTCATCATACAAGTCCAATGCTTCTCCAACCCGGCTCCTAATGCAGAGTCCTTTTATCAGCGTATTCAAAGTCACAGTATCCGGTTGAAGACCCATCTTGTGAATCTTTCCCAATATTGAGAAAGCAGAATGCATGTCACCCAAATGGCATTAACAATTGAGCAAGATGTTCAGTGTAAATAAACAGGGTGTGAACCCCCTGAACTCAGCTTGTGCTAACAATGAGATGGCAGTGCGATGATGTTTGGACTTGGCAAGTGATCCTAAAATCTTATTAATTTGGCATATGGAAGGTGGGGGATACAGACGGAGTAAGCGATTGAATGAAGCTACCGAGTCGTGAATGCTATTCACATTTGGGGTTTGAGAATAAGCAAAGAACGTGTGGGTGAGGGAAAAAGGGAAAGAGAGAATGATGGAAGATGAAGAACATCGAATACAGAGAGGAAGTTGGGGGAAAGTGTACCTTCTAGCGGCACGCAGCGACATCTTCGCCGATAAGAAACCTCGCAGCACTCAACGCTGAATGGAGGCGGTGATTTCCTTCCAGCAGCCTTTCCCGGCGGCCGTGACCCTATTTGCTAAGGTGGAAAATGCTATTACAATTTACACAAAGTGGGAGAAAAAAGGGGGGATATGAATTACAATCAAATCCTACACGATCAAATCTCACAAAAAAATAATTATTAAAAAGTTTTAATAATAATATGAACAGTCTGTAATAATAAGTCCTTCTTACAGTAGAAAAAAGGGAAAATGACACTAAAATACCACTTGAATTCCAAAAAGACAAATAAGGCACATGAATAAGCAAAATGACAAAGAAGGCATCAGGTACCAATCTGGAATTTTAATTTTTGGCCTAAAGACTAAATTGCCCTTATTGTGTTTGAAAACTGAGGAGATAGAGAAAGGTAGAAATCGCCTCCTCCCAGCGAAAGCAATTCCCCCCACTCGGCGAAAGAGAAACTGCCCCCACTTGGCGAAACCAATCCATCTACTCGGTGAAACTAATCCCTCCCCTCAGTGAAACCGAATCCCTCTACTTGATAAAACCAATCCCTCCACTCCACGAAACCAAACCCCCTCCAGTTGACGAAACTAAATCCTTCGCATCACCATTCTGTAGAGATTGTTGATTTGGTGGGTTTTGGTTATGGGAAAGAGGATTTGTAGTGAGAGAGGGAGTGAACCGAAGCGGAAATCAGAAAACAATAGCAAGCAATTACGTAACGTAACTGCTGTCATATGCCTGCTGGTTTTTGGTAAATCCCATTACGTGAATGGTAAATTTCACTATACATGTAGTTAATTATGAATTTTACAAAATACATATTGTGATTTACAACTTTTTAGTGAAAGTGACTACTTTGTTAATGGGTTTTGCAACCTGTTTTCAGGAGATAAACAACTTGTTTGTAAAAACTAATAAAATTTCACGTTAAATTTGACAAAACGTATAGTGAGATTTACAACTTCCGTAGTAAAAATGACCACTTATTGAATGGGTTTTGTAACTTGTTTTCAAGAGATGGGCAGCTTGTTTCTAAAAACTAATAAATTTTCCTACTAAATTTGACAAAACACATTGTGAGATTTACAACTTTCGTAGTGAAAATGATCACTTCTTCAATGGGTTTTGTAACATGTTTTTAAGGGATTGACAACTTGTTTCTAAAAACCAATAAAATTTCATGCTGAATTTTACAAAACATAGAATGATATTTACAACTTTTGTAGTGAAAATTACCACTTCTTAAATGAGTTTTGCAACATCTTTTCAAGGGATTGGCAACTTGTTTCTAAAAACCAATAAAATTCCATGCTAAATTTTACAAAACATAGAGTGATATTTACAACTTTTGTAGTGAGAATTACCACTTCTTAAATGAGTTTTGCAATCTCTTTTCAGGGGATGAACAACTTGTTTCTAAAAATCAATAAAATTTGACGCTGAATTTTACAAAACACACAATGATATTTACAACTTTTATAGTGAAAATGACCACTTCTTAAATGGTTTTTGCAACCAGTTAATTCAACGTGACTACAAAAGTTGTCACTTTTATTAGTTTTTACAAACAAGTTGTTTATCTCCTGAAAACAGGTTGCAAAACCCATTAACAAAGTAGTCACTTTCACTACAAAAGTTGTAAATCACAATATGTATTTTGTAAAATTCATAATTAACTGCATGTATAGTGTGAAATTTACCATTCACGTAATGGGATTTACCAAAAACCAGCAGGCATATGACAGTAGTTACGTTACGTAATTGCTTGCCATTGTTTTCTGATTTCCGCTTCGGTTCACTCCCTCTCTCACTACAAATCCTCTTTCCCACAATCAAAACCCACCAAATCAACAATCTCTACAGAATGGTGATGCGAATGAGTAAGATAATAGCATTTCCAACATTCTTCTTTCCTTCTTCCCGCATTTCATCAGCGTCGGTCTTCCTCTCTCCTTTCTCTCACTACGTCGGTCTTCCTCTCTCCTTTCTCTCACTTTCAGCGTCGGTCTTCCAACATTTCATCAGGGCATTTTGGTCTTTTGGCCGAAAATATGAATTCCAGATTGGTACCCAGTGCCCTATTTGTCATTTTGCTTATTCAGGTGCCTTATTTGTCTTTTTGGAATTCAAGTGGTATTTTATTGTCATTTTCCCTAGAAAAAAACTTCTAAGATTTGTTTTATTAATTTTTTTAATGAGACTTGATTATAACTCTCTCTTAATTTTAATCATTAAGTAGTTGGGACTTTTTTTTTTCCCAAAAAACTGGTCACATATTGTTTAAGATCAGCGTAAGTATTGCTGGTAAATAAAAGAAAAGGGTCAGCGTGAATATCACAAAAATTCTTTGACAAGAGTAACCCATGGTCAGTTTAGTTTGGACTGGTAACGGGAAAAGTAATTTATTTTCAATTTGATTTTAAAAAAATTAGATTGGGTAAAAATAAAAAAAAATGAAGTATATATTTGGCCTTTTAATTTTACGTAAAGTTTTAGTTCGATCTCTTAACTTTAAAAAATATATTTTTAATACTTTAACTTTAAAATTGTTAGTTTTAAATAATATTTTTTGTAACTATCATTGTTGTTTTGAAAATTAAACTTAATATGTTAACATTTAGTAATGTTTTATCAATATTTAATAAGTTAATATCATCTTTTTTTGTTAACAGCAAAAAAAACAACATCTAGGACTTGTTTTGTTATTTTTTTCAAGAAAAATATATGCACGGGTTCTTATAGTTTAATTCAAGTTTGAGTCAGGTCCTCAAACTTTTTTTTCTTCTTTTTATTAAATCTTTATACTTTATGCAGTTAAAGCCATCCATCCTTAAACAAGCGGAAGTTATAACACCGTCTACTTTAGGTGAGGTGGCAGATGATTATTCACAGGTGGCTTCTCACTAAGCCATGACTGGACTCCTCCAGGGCTAGGCTGGCATATGTTAAGTAGAGGGTTCGAGTTCAATATCGGAGGAGACAAGCGGGTAGATAAAGAGAAGGTCTCCGAGCATCATACAAGGTGGTTCTTCAAGTCTTCAAGCTCGAACACGCTCTCATCTCTCGCATCATTGTTGTGGCTCTATTTGCTTGGTTCTCCAACACTCAAACCAGAGTTGGTCAAATCTTCTCCGTCTACTGCAACTCTTTCATCAACTCCTTGTATAATCAAATTATCCATGGTTTATTCTACAAAAGCAATTGGTTAGACAAACTCTAAGCTCTTTCATCTACCATCCCTTACTCCGCTAATTTTGCTTTCCTTCAAAAAAAACTACTCCCTTCCTTGAATTGTCTCTTTTGTGCTTCTCTTTTCTATTTTCTTTCTAGACAAAGTTGGAGTTAATGTCAAAGTTAAAACTCACAACATGAGTATATGCTGTTGGTGAATTGTGTTGAGTTGAGGGATTTACGAGGCAATATTAATCATCAATCAATTGCTTGGTATTTAATTTAACATAACAATGAGCCTCCATTTTCATCATCCGCCCAAACCCATTTCCCTCATCGAGAAGAAGAACAAGAAGAAATGACGCCATAAACATTGAAGGAACATGAATTGGAGACTCATCATATTGTGTGCTTTGATAGACACTTCAAAATCTACATCAGACCTCTCTACTGTCGAGACTTATGTTCGCTCGCTCATTCATATTTTGCTAAGGCCTGGGTGTTTGCTTTGCCGTTCTTTTTACTTGCTTCAAGTTTTTGCCTGCTCCTTTCAGCGTTGGTCCTGCATTTTGCTTGTTCACTCCCCACATATTGTCAAGTCTTGACTAGCTCAATTGTTCTTCCAGACGTTTGCTTGTTCATTTGCTTCGTCCTGCTTTCTTCCTTTTCTATTCTATGATGGGAAGAGAGGAGTCCAGTCACAGCCTAACTGGACTTAAATATCCACCTATGTATATAGTCATTCGCCATCTCATTCAAATATAAACGGAGTTATACACAGTTAGTGCTTTAATAACGGTTTTAAACTTGATGGATGGATGCCTCTAACTGTTTAAAATATAAGGACTTGATAAAAAGAAAATAAAGTTTAGGGACCTAATTCAAAAGTTAGTTAAACTATAAGCGCCTGCATATATATTTTCTTTTTTTTCATGGGACTTGATTATAATTCTCTCTTAATTTTAATTGTTAAGTAGTTGGGTTTTTTTTTCAAAAAACGTGTCACATATTGTTTAAGATCAGCGTAAGTATTGCTAGCAAATTATTTTTTTTAAAAAAAAAGGTGAGCGTGAGTATCACAAAAATACTGTGACAAGAGTAACCTGCAGTCAGTTTAATTTGGATTGGTAACGGGGAAAGTAATTTTTTTTCAATTTGATTTTAAAAAAAATTAGATTGGGTAAAAATAAAAAAATAAAGTATATATTTAGTCTTTTAACTTTATGTAAGATTTTAGTTTAGTCTCTTAATTTTAAAAAAAAATACTTTTAGTCATTTAACTCCAAAATTATTAGTCTTAAATAATATTTTTTGTAACCACCATTGTTGTTTTGAATATTAAACTCCATATGTTAATATTTAGTAATATTTTATCAGTATCCAACAACTTAATATCATCATTTTTTTGTCAACGGTTTTGGAGTTAGAGGACTAAAAGTTTATTTTTTATAGTTAAGAGACTAAAGAGAAACATCGTTTAAAATTAAAGGACGAAAAGTATACTTTAGCCCATATAAAATTAGGCAATCTGAATTATTTTTAGATTCGATTTTATAAAAGTTAGCTTATTTTATGCTAGGAGAAAAAATAAGGTGAATGTCATGTCTGATTTTCGCTCCAAATTTTTCTCCATATATAGAGGGATTTGGGGAAAAAAACAAGATTTTTGTGACTACACATTCTCTCTCTTTCATTCTATATTTATTTTCTTTTATTTTATTTAAAAAATATTCACCTTTTATTGGGAAAATAACATATAAAGAATGTGGAATATATGATATTCCAATTTGAAAAGCTAAGAAAATATAATGACAGAGAGAGGAGTCCTTCCCAAATTAGAATTTTGAAATTCAGTAAAATAACAAAAATATCCTTTTTAAAAAAACAAAAACTCAGGCCA